GTACTCTCTGACTAACTTCACAATCGCCACAACAGTGTCCCTACCACGGGGGGGGGGGGGGTGAAACTGAACTGAAGTGAGACAATTTATTAATTTCAAAAGTATATTAGCGCTACAATCTCACAGTGATTCAAATATCCTCACTAGCAAGGGTTGCAAGTTTCATTATTATTATACATCAACGTATGTTTTACGTGTGACCTTCGCAGATAAGGATATATTGTTGACAAAATTCTTTCCTTTAATCCACACATTAAGCAAAAAGTATCGAAGTAAACTAGTGACAGTTTTCATGCAAAACATTCAACTAACTCTAACCACCGAGTTGCTGGTACAAAGGCGTTCACTGGAAAATACCGAGTCAATAAAACTAGAAAAAAGAAGTGGCAGTTGGAAATGATTGAAAGTTAGATAATTCAACAGGTCAGAGTAAACAAACACAAACATGTCAATGTAAAATATGCACATATTTTTCCAAAAAACATATATTTAAAACTGATTAACATACATTATTCAAAAGTCAATGGCGAATTAAAAAATGTAGGTACCTAATGTTTTGTACTATTATTTAATCATTCATTCGTGAGTTAACCTTGAGATAATGGTATTTCTGATAAAATATGCAAAAAAACAATGTAAATGGAAATATATGTTATACTTGTTTCCTGATTTTAGCAGAAAAACAACATCAAATTTCGTAGGTGTGACGTTTATTAAAAACCAAAATGTAGAGTAGTGCAAGTGCTGCTACTGACCTGAACATGTTTTACTTTATATAAGACAATAATTCTCTGTTCTTCTTATGCTACTTTTTGTTGAACGTGTTACAATATTAAACTTTGGTTGTCACTAGTCCCCATTTTCAGGGAAGGTTTTTCCTACATAAGAAGTTTGTGGTAATCACTGCAAAATTTACCTCACACCTCTTAGCGCTAGCCCAAAAATACTAAATATTTGTTATCAAATGTCATTGCGCTGCAGTAAATATAAGGTTTGGGTAGAAAACGTCGAGACTCATCAAATTAAAACCAATTTCGTTGAATCAAAACGTACAGCATCGACGGGTTGGAACTAGGTAAATTTCATGGGTTTCCGATTATGGCCCACAATTTTGCTCATTTATTCAGAACTTTCTTTTAGAAGAGCATTGGGCAGCTACGTCGCAGCTTTATGCATTGAATGTATTTTTATAATCACTATCGCGAATGTGGGAGGTCTTCCGGTACATTTTTAATCCGCATATCTGTAAATTGCACACCGGGATTGAACTATTCAAGCGTCCTAAATTTCAATTTTAAGGCTTCGTAATTTATTTCGACCAAATAGGGTACACGTACACGAATTTTTTGACGCTCTTCGACATATCACTCTACTCGACACTTCTACAATCTACGCCAATATTTTTTTCACTTTCTTGTTTATAAAGGGTGTCTTAATATCAGATTTTTTCTTTTTTTCTGCAGTTAACTTTGACATTGGACAGCTGTCATCTACGACGGGTTCTGATTATACATGAAGCCCCTAGCTTTCACAAAGCCACAATGTGTAATCATTGTAAAAACCCATTACAAAAATAGTGAAAACTACTTTGAAATCCAACACAAAGATGACCTTTGTAAAGCGCGGTAACGAATAAAAAATCAAAACAACAGATCAACGAAAAAATTTGCCAAATTTTTGAAAGAACAGCTTCCTAGCTCAAATCAAAAATGGCGCTATTAGAAAAGTGTCTTCAAGAAATAGTAAGTGTAAGGAAAAACGTTTCCCACGAAAGTTTATTATTTTCCGATTTAGAATAAGAATATTCAATAAAAAGTATAGGTTTCGATTTGAAAAAATTAGTTGCACTTGACCCTTAAGGGACAATTATGTGAAAATATGCATAGCACCATTAAATGGGCCCTTTTATATGAAGAAGATTTTTTATAAATCATCTTTTGATATCTCCTCTAGCTTCCGCAATTATCAACCGTCTCAATAGGGGACACCCTGTATATAAATTAATGAAGTAACATTGAATGAAATATAAGATTATGGAACTGGTCTGGTAGTCGCAGCTTGCAAAAGAAATGACCGCTACGCCCTGGGCTACACTCCAACTCGTCTCGCTTATGCAGTTAAAACTTCAATAAATCATCCCTTGAAACTGATATCTATTTTAGACCAAATGCTTGCTTCAAAACTATCATATATAACCGTTCGCTATTTAATTTCGTTTATTCTGAATTCCATTGCTACACTCGGACAAAAACAAAGTTTACCCCTTATTAAATTAATAATTCTAATTCGCGATAGTAGATAATTTCTTATGGTGCGTTCTCTCCGAGGTTCTCTCGTAAACACTCCACGTTGTTATGTTACGAGTCCACGTGCTTTTTTTTTACTGTGGCTTGTGTTTATTACTAGTAATTCATTTATTGTCTACAGTCAAGCAATGTTGCCCCCGGTTAATACTCGTATTTGAATGGGTAACCGAAAATTTAATGAAAAAATATGGGTTACCATTTGAAAAAACTGTTGTGTGACGTCACGGTGATAAAACTCATATATTAAAAAAAGTTTTTGACAGTTTTAAATCCTTTATGCCCTCGTTTGTGCCTAATGCACACTGCCCAAATTCTAACGAAATCAAAATAACCGTTTTGCCGAAAATAATAATTTTGTTTTTTAAAATTTTTTCTCCCTTGGTTTGTAATAAATCCTTGCATAATTTTTATATATTTATCACACAAAACAAGGCCTTTTGAATGCGGCCCGTTATTTATCGTTTGAGATTGACAATAAAACAAAATTTACACAAAAAATAGGATGCCTATGAAACAAAAGCACCCACGTCAAATCGTGTTGGCGTATTTTTAAATATTAAGGTGACAGTTACTTTTTACCGTGGTATGTTAGTAGTCATATAGAACATTGTTTTTTAATTGTTTCCGGATTTAGATCATACTCCATTATCTTAATTAGGGCTATCTGATTACAACTGCGAATTCGACATGAGGTCATTTCAGCATCGTGAAAACTACAACGTCGCACGTGCAAAATAAAGAAACTGAACTAACAATTAAAGATGTCCCATATTGTTAATAAGAAGCCATTTTGTAGGCATTCGTTAAGATACGCACAAGATATAACCATTGCGGTGATCGCGATAAAAGATTCACCTATGTGCCAAGGATGTGTAAAACGTTTGGTGAAATTCATCCAAATTTGAAATTTTGTCACGGTGGGAAAGTGTTTAATTTCAAAAAAGGAATCCAGGTTTCGGAGAAGCGCGAATAAATTCAGAAATTCATTCGGAAAGTAAATATTACGTTTAAACGAGACGAATTATAAACATTTTTTCGTTGTGTACTCACACTATAAGAACGATTCTTTGGCTAAAGACATTAAAGCGCCGCAAAAGATTAGTCATAGGCTATAAGAAAGCGTAATAGCAAATCGAATTGTGCTTCAAGGAGTTCTAATGTAACGAAGCACTTTAAGATCTTAAGGTGTATCTTTTACTTGACCGATTGAAACAATCTGTTGTTTTGAAATCATGGTTGAACCCACTTCAGCCCGTTTTGGAAAATGTAAAAAAACCGTTTTACTTTATAACAAATAACTCGGCGATATCCGGTACATTTTAACGTGTGCGCGAACTTTGGGCCTCACACTAACATCGCACGTCGATAACTGGAATTCCTTGAAATTTATTGCAGAGTTTGCAACACGAAGTACCTTCGTGATCAATGGCAATCCAATTCATCGCAGGAGGTGCCAAACTTTTGCGACGCTTTCGTCATAGTGTATAAAATCTAGTTGGGTAACATCTTATGGCGTCATATTTTTTATATAGCCTTTGTTGCAAATGTTTGACCTTTACGAGATGTGAAATATCGAAGATATTATCGTCTAATTAAATAATTCTAAATCGTGCTGCAACACTCGCTCCAGATTTAATTATAGAACACGCGAAAAAATCGAATCCAATGACATACGCGAAATTAAGTTATGTTTACATTTCCAAAATGTAATTTTGTAGGTGTTCGGTACGTGTATGATTAATGTTAATATCCAGATACGCTGCGTGAAAAATATACATTAAATTACATTAATAAACGTTTGCAGAGACTCGATTTAGATCTAACTATTTTTGAAATGGCTATTAATGCCAAACTGTTTATACGATGTACATACACGTTTTTTATTGAAGCAAAATTGATTCAGGATTTACTTTGAGGCAATTGTTACTCCTTCGCGAAGGCCAAGATTTTGTGGTCAAAATGATTCTATGTTCAAGCTTAAAAACAACAAACGGTCGTAGCCCATTTATCTTTATTTCGAATTTTTTGTAGGTATCATTGAATCAGATGGGGATCAACAGTTTTTATATCAAATACAATAAGAGAGCATGTATCTAAGTAGTACGAGATAATCACTGACAATATCAAGGTTAACTAAATTATCAATACTGATTTTGACAGTACCTACTAACATCGTATGTTTGATAAGGTAAATAGAACATTGTGTTTTATTAATTATGCAGACTTATAACTTTCATTTAAATACACAAATAGAAGGCTATAAGCTTGAGGCACTATGTTAATGGAGTAACCACGCACCATGGTATTGGTAAAATTTGTGACGATAGCACAATTCCACTCTCCAATCACAATAAACAGGCGAACGTTACAAAGAAGTTTTTCAATCATTTTCGAAGCGATGCCTCCTCAGTTGTGGTAATTAAAATTATTTCGACATTATGAAATTAGAGGTCATGGTATCTAAATTTCAAAATTTCATATCCATGACTGACATGTACCGAAAATCACTAAAAATGAGGTTAATGCAATAGCAAGAGTAACAGCGATGAAATTGAATGTCAACAGTAGATGACATGAATTAAATTGCCGTTGCCATGGTCACAAACAATGTTGTTTCACAATGCAAGACGTACTTTAACCGATGTGAGTGCAACAACACGGCACAAAAAGGATGAGAATGGAGTAGGTACGTACCTGTGAGCTAACTCTCTGTCGTCCACCCAGCTGGGCTCCTGCATGTGTATACCTTCCATGTAACTTTCAAAGTCATTTTCCGAAACACAACTGGAAAGTCTTTGAATTTTGGGCGGAAAACTAACATTTTTCAAACGCCCAGATGAGTTTGCCCTACTTCTAAGAGCGAGAGCACCTTTCTCGGTCGAATTAGTCCTACCTCGTATTGAATCAAAACTTGTAATTGCGCCCGTGTGCATGGCCATTGCAGGATTTTCGGATTCGAACTTATCCTGCGATATTTCGGGCATTTCTAATAAGTAAGTAGAATACGTATGTCTATAACTACCGAAATGCTAACCAACATACACTGCGAGTAACCACTTCTGACTAACTGCCTGCTTCCACTAACAACGTCGACTTTTACATTATTAATAAGCGATGCTCTTAATAAACATATTACGCTGTTAGTAATTAAGTGACCACTTTAATGATAAGAGATAACACGATTTTTTTCTGAAAGCGGTCGCGCCCAAAATTGCGGTCATTCGTGCAGTGTGTTTTAGGTAGCAGAATAAAAAACGGCATTGTTTGAATGCCAAATTAAAAACAATGCTCCGAATCCAATTATTTGTTATTTAAATAGCAGCGCGAGTTGCCGTTACGAATTCGATTATTCAATGAAGCGCCCAATTGAATTTAAAAATTACTTTCTAAGCAAACACTTAATTTCTTGCCAATTAAAATACGTTAGTAAATTCTTTCTTGCTGTCGGCACGTATTTACGAATATTAATTTTTTGAGATATTTTTATTTAGCTTATAAATAGCGAGATATTATGGAAATGTCGCATTTTGCAATATGCAAAAAGCACGATGTGTGAAAATAATCCAGGCAAGGTGTGGGTAATGCCGTCTGACCTTGAAGAGGCAATGCGTGTACATGAACATTTATGCATGAAGGGCGTTACTAGAATAGTGTGATTACACCCGAGCGTGACGGAAACCAAAGTGTAATGATTATGAATAACTTCAATGACAATACATTGTGCACTAGCTTTTTTGACTACATCTCCGAGACCTGGACGCCGTGGGCATAAATCCCCCCCCCCCCCCCCCCCCCCCCCGAATTTATTCTACACGGTGACCATCACAAAAGACATTTTAAAATCTATTCTGCATAGAAATCTTAGGTAAATTGTTCCTTGTATGTAGTAACACCTACGGTATGAACAGATTCGTGAAGTTGGTCCCGCCCAAGGATTATTTAAACATATAATCCTTGGGTCCCGCCCACATGAAATAAGTGCTGGAAGCTTATCGTTAGTGCTGCTACAAAACATGAGAAAATTAAAAAATTATCAAAGTCCTCGTGTAGGATCGAAGGGACTTCAGTGCATTTTTCGTGTGATAGATTACTGTTTTAATAGCCAGTGTTGACTCCACCATCAATAAAAGATCTTGTCGAAGGCTACCACATTCACTTTGTCGGTACCCGCTTCCGCGGCATCCGCAATTTGCGTTTAAAGTTTCGGCTCCACCATCAGTAAAATCTTGTCGGGGGTGTTGGAGATAGGTTGGCTTTGAAAAATAGAAATATAAAAATAATGTCAGATTGATTTAGTCAATAAATCGTATTTCCATTTTGCTTGTTATTCTGCGCTATATTCAATAGGTTATGGGCTATCGCGTGTGAATTGGTGCGAAACGAAAGAGTTTAGTTGGACCAATTCTGCAATTTCGGAAATAAATTTCAACATAAATAGAAATGGTTGATGAGGAAAAGTTTGTATTCAAACAATTTGAGGGTCGTGAGTTCGACAATTGGTATTTTCGTTTGAAAATTACTTTAGAAGAAAAGGGCGTCGCACGATGGCTGGAAGAAGATGCTATGGAGGCGAGCAAGGTGACCGGTGAAAAGGTTGAAATCATTCTAAAGGAAGACAAAATCTGCAAGACCCACATCACTAGACGTGTTGCGGATTCGCATTTAGAATATTTGAAAGATAGACCGACGGCATTTTCGATGATCCAATCGTTAAAAACAATTTTTGAACGGGCAAGTGTGGCAACTGAAATTGGTGTCAGAAAGCGCATGTTAACAATGCGTTGTGCAGAATCTGATAAATTAATCACACATTTCTTAGCATTCGACAAATTAGTGCGTGAATTGAAGGCGTGTGGTGCTGAAACAAACGATCGAATGCTTGTAGTATCGCTCATGATTACGTTACCTAAGCGATACGACATGGTGGTTACGGCATTGGAAACGATCGAGCCTGCAAAATTGACGATGGAATTGGTGCGTTCGCGTCTGCTTGACCATGAAAGTAAAACATCAAACCATGTGGATGCTTCTTCGGACAATGTTGCCATGTATGGCGATGGTAGTGCAATGAAATTCAAATGTTACTTTTGCAAAAAGCGAGGTCATCGTAAAAATGAATGTCCAAAGTTAAAACAAAGAAATTCGTACAATGGATCATCAAACAGCAACAATAACGTGAAATCAAATCATCGATATCGTAAAGAAAATGCGAGTTGCGCATCAAACAAGGATGAGAATGATATTGGGTTTATTGCTGATGCTGGTAATTTTGCGCTTGAGTGTGAATTGCAAACAATAAATTTCATTATTGACTCTGGGGCGACAGAACATATGGCAAATGATGAGTCTTTATTCACTGAGTTATGGGATTTGCCTGATCCGATTGTAATTGGTATTGCGAAGAATGGTGCATCGATCACAGCGAATAAATGTGGTACGATTTTGGGAACCATTTTCGTCAATGATGTCAAGCGTCAGTGTATGTTCACGAATTTATTTATTGAAAATCTCAAGTACAACTTACTTTCTGTGAGTCGTTTGGAAAGCGCTGGTTTTGAAGTGATTTTTGGTGATGGTGTGGTTCACATCACAAGGAATAATTTAGAAATGGCTATCAAATAATGTCAGATTGATTTAGTCAATAAATCGTATTTCCATTTTGCTTGTTATTCTGCGCTATATTGATCTTGAGGATAGCGATGAAGTGGATGTTGTGAGAGATCATAGTCGATCAGAAGTAATTAATCCAGGCGGAGTAGCGACGGATGTCGTACGAGATGATGATCAACCCACCGGAATGAAGGATCGAACAGTAAATATAACATCGCGACCTCAAAGAAAGCGTCAACCTCCGAAACGATATGGAAATTGTATTGATTTGGAAAAACCGAAGAGTCATAGTGATGAGGAGTATTTCTCTGCATTTGCATTAAGTGCTGACACATTAGATTTTGCAATAAATGCTATGGCATATGTTGACAACGTTCCACAGTCATTTGGTGAGATTGCGAAGAGAGATGATGCGGCACAATGGATGAAAGCGGTTCATGATGAGATGAGCTCACACAAGCGAAATGATACTTGGAAGTTAGTTGAGCGTCCGATGAATCGTTCTGTTGTCACTTGCAAATGGGTATTTTCTCGAAAGCGGAATGATGAGAGCAAGTTGATGTCGTACAAAGCGCGACTGGTTGCTCGTGGATTCACTCAACGTAATGGACTTGATTTTCATGAAACATATTCACCAGTTGCAAGAATTGCTACATTAAGGATAATGCTGGCTCTTGCTGTGGAGCGTGATTTAGAGATTCATCAAATGGATGTAAAAACGGCATTCTTAAATGGAAAACTCGAGGAGGACATTTACATGGAATAGCCGGATGGTTTCATGCAGGGCGATTTTGTATGTAAATTGAACAAATCATTATACGGTTTGAAACAAGCCTCCCGTGTGTGGAATGAGCGATTTCATAATTTCATACTTGAGAATGGATTTATTCGATCAGAATATGATCACTGTTTGTATTCTCGTATCAATAAGGAAAAAGTGGTGTATCTGTTATTATATGTGGATGATCTCATTTTGTTGGGAGAAGATATCGAAGAGATCATAAAAATTAAACAGATGGTATCCAAGGAATTCGAAATGCATGACATGGGTGAAACGAGAAGTTTTCTTGGCATTAACATCGAACGTGAACGGGAACATGGGATTTTGAGGATAAATCAACGTGGCTATCTGGAAGATGTATTGCAACGATTTGGAATGACTGATTGCAATTCAATTTCAACTCCCATAGAATGTCAATTAAAATTGGGGAATGATTCGGGGAGCAAACTTACAGATAAACCGTACCGTGAATTGATTGGATGCTTGATGTATGCAGCTTGTACAACTAAACCAGACTTATCCGCGGCAGTGAATTATTTGAGTCAATTTCAATCATGTGCGACTGAGGATCATTGGAGGGCGGCTAAACGAATCCTCCGATATATCAAGGGAGCAATTGATTTGAAGTTGGAATATCGTTACAAGGAGAATTCGGTTGCATTGATTGGATATGCGGATGCTGATTGGGCAGGCGATATCAACGATCGAAAATCAGTTTCTGGGAACGTGATAAAAGTATTTGGGGCCACTGTGGTTTGGATGACACGTAAGCAGACATGTGTTGCTTTATCATCTACCGAAGCTGAATATGTGTCATTATGCTTAGCGGCATGTGAAATCATGTGGGTGCGTGGATTGTTAATGGAAATTGGAGAGACACCTGACGAACCAATAATACTGAATGAAGATAATCAGTGTGCAATTGTGATATCATCGCAGGAAAAGGAAATGCAGCGGACAAAACATATTGATGTGAAATTCAATTTTGTTCGTAATCTTATACATCAAGGAATTCTTGAGGTCAGGTACATTTCAACAAATGAACAATTAGCTGACATCATGACAAAAGGTTTACCAAATAAGACGTTTGAGTTTTTGCGAAATGAACTAAATTTGATTCGTTTAAATTAATTATTTTGAAACATTGTGATTATGATTTGAACTTGCAATTCCTATCGATAATGTTCGATTAGTAATTGAGGCGGAGTGTTGGAGATAGGTTGGCTTTGAAAAATAGAAATATAAAAATAATGTCAGATTGATTTAGTCAATAAATCGTATTTCCATTTTGCTTGTTATTCTGCGCTATATTCAATAGGGGGCTACCATAGGGTCTAGGACACTTCGCCGTCGCCAATCCGTCGTCCGCCAATTCGCCTTAGCCGATTTACCGTCGCCCATTCGCCGTCGGGACAATTGGTCTTAACCAAATTCGTCGTTAGCACAATTCGCCATGGCCAATTCGCCGTCGCCGATTAGAATATTGTGTATTAGCCATTTGTGAAATGCGTCGTAGGCCGGATTCGCAGTACTGTATACCTTTTATTGTTCTATTATATTTCAAGAATGTTAATGAGGGTGTCCTTTGGTCTAGCGCAATTAACCATAAACAGATTTTGTATGAATGAACAACTTGTATTATTATCCTAATCTCCCTGTCATTAGCGTAAATCTGGTTTATTGTTCCATTCAACTATTCTTATATCGGTATAAATATACAAAAATATGTAGGTAAGTAAAATTCAGTATCTATCTATAGTGGCTGTAAGTAGGCAGGAATTAAAGAATGGACGTGGAAATTTTATCTGAAAAAGGGAAACAGAAATTTACGGAAAATGGATTTATTTATGTCTTTGATACATTTAGTAAAAGTGACAACAGTATAAAGTTTTGGAGATGCGAGAAGAGAAAAGAGTGTAAAGCGCGAGTCCATACCAGAAACGGAGAAGTTCTTAAGAAAATTAACGACCATTGTCATGATTCTTCAGCGGTTAGCGTGGAAGTGGCACAAGTCGTCACTAAAGTGAAAAAACGTGCTGTGGAGACAATTGAAGGGACGATTCAGGTAATTACTCGTACTTTATATTTCCAAACGTCGTATTATCAATAACAAATTTGAGTGTATTTTTTGCAAGCTATATAATTGTACCAAAAAAACTAGCCTCGCGTTGCTTGGCGTTTTATCTTTCTTTATGCGCTTCATTCCTATACCTTAACAGTGCCCTTTTTTTTATTTTTAGGTGATTAATGAGTGTATGGTTAATACAACGCAAGCTGCTCAAGCTGTTCTTCCAAATACTTGTAGTTTAAGGAAATTAGTAAGACGTAAACGTAATGAAGTTAACGCTGCACCACCAAATCCTTTGACTCTAGCAGATTTATTATTACCAGATGATTACAAAACGTACAAACTACGAGTCAATGTTACGGAAAACTTTCTTTTGGCAGACAACCAAGATGGAGCAGAAAGAATTTTAATTTTTGGAAGGCAGACCTGGCTTCCATATTTAGAAACTTCCTCAGTATGGTACGCAGATGGAACATTTTCTATAGCTCCTCCCTTATTTTCACAAGTGTACACTTTGATGGGAGTCATAAATAATGGTGTCCATCCAATATGCTATGCGTTGTTACCCAACAAAATGCGAGGAACTTACCAGCGGATGTTCGAGTTATTGAAAGAGTTGCTTCCGAATTTAAACCCTTTAGCAATCAATTGCGATTTTGAGCATGCTGCATTTACCGCCATGAAAACATCATTCCCAAACGTAAATATTTACGGATGTTTTTTTCATATGGCTCAAAATATGAAAAAAAAATTGGGGGAAATGGGAGTGACACGGGAATACAATAATGATCCGCAATTTGCACTGAATGCCAGAATGGTGACGTCATTAGCCTTTGTACCCCCCGCACGTTTGGATGACGCAATTGAAGTGGTGTCAAACGCATTACCAGGAAACCTTCAACCGCTTCTCGATTGGTTTGAAGATAGTTATGTTGGGCGTATGAACAGGTATGTTATTATTATTATTATTATTATTATTATAAAAATGTGTACTATGATCCTAATGCTACATGTTTGTTTCTCTAAATTAGACGTGGTAATGGTAGACGACAACCTTTGTTCCCAATCGAGATGTGGAATCTTTACCAGCGCACATTAAATGGGCAGGATAGAACCAACAACCACGCTGAAGCCGCTCACCGAAGGCTCAAGTCGGAAGTAGGAATGGTTCATCCATCAATATGGAAATTTATAGACGCTTTGCGCAAAGTGCAAAAAGGACGGGATGCATACTATGAGCAATTAGTTGCTGGTAATGCACCACCCTTAAAGTTGAGGAAATATAGAAATGCTGATGCTCGTATTTTGAATTTAGTTACAAATTTTAATGACGACAGTAATATTTTGGAATATCTTAGAGGATTAGCGCACAATTATCATATGTAGCGAAATTCGTAATTAGACATGTAATATTTTTGTTCTTTTTGTATTAAAATCGTTACTACTAATGTTGACAATTTTTTGCATTACTCAAACTTCTTCATGTCCACATCACATCACCCACGGCGAATTTGGTTATTACCAATTATCCCGACGGCGAATGGGCGACGGTAAATCGACGAAGGCGAATTGTACCTACGGCGAATTTGGTTAAGACCAATTGTCCCGACGGCGAATGGGCGACGGCTAATCGGTGAAGGCGAATTGGCGATGGCGAATTGTCCCATTCCCTTGTGGAATTACAGTCTATGAGATTCCACGGAACTGGTCCAATCCGAGGAAATAGAAGAGGTCAAGATTGACCTTACTTTACCAATAAAAAATTTTCCTAGAAAGAGAAGAAAAACATTATGGTACCACAGTCATTCATTATAAAGAAATAGAATGAGCACATGGGTGGAGTAGATATGGGTGATTAAAATTTAAGCCTATATACAACATCAATCGGGGGAAAATTTCAAATTTATGTGCCAAAAATGCTTAATGCATTATATCCTACAAATTGTTTCGTTACATATCATGTAAGCAATATGAATGCTGGAGGACGGCGTGATCTCATCGGGGGCTCCGGTGTTCTTGCTGCCTTGTTGATGCAGCAAGAGTGGTCCTGGGAAAGGATGGAATACGCACAACCCAACGTATTGTAAAGGAGTTGGAGTTAAGACTTCATTATTTTATGAACTGTATTAGTTTGAATTTCTTATTTCTCATTCTTATTAATAAAATACTTATAGTCATACAAATAATTTACGAAAAATATGTTTAATGTATATATTATGTGTATTTTGTATTATTTTAAATATATTGTTATTGACTCTTACCTAATGTGTTATGATTATATTGTCCGGGTCGAAGAACAATTTGACAAGAGCTTTTTAAATTAAATTTTATTATGACGGTCTTTATATTTTTTCTAAAAACCTTATTTCTATGGCAACATTTTATAATTATTCAGTAAACTTAATACAAAAAAAATACAACATTAATCTATCTACCATTACTTTTCATAGCTAGTAGAAGTTGATTATTCCACTGTTCCTTTAAAAGAACACCCATTTCCAAAAAAACACCTTTTTTATTATATCTGAATCACAATCTCCGTTTTAAACACTCAAATGCGTGCGAAAAAAGGCCTTTAAAACACACGTGCTTTAAAGTTGCTAAGTAACGATACTTCAAGTATGACTTTTGAAACTGTCATCTGGATGAAATAAAAAATCTTCCTAAGTCGCTTTCTGTAAATGCAGAACATTTCTTTGGCTTGTACCTATCCTTTGGTTGAAGCTTTTACAAACGCGCGTAATTTAGGGTATGCTTCCAAATCTGTTCCACTTTTTAGTCCCAGCAATAAGTGAAGTTTTGAATGAATGCACCAAAAGATAGAAGATTTAAATACCTTTGACATTTCCTTCATATATGCCAGCATTATCGATGCATTTAAGACTTTATTCGTAAGTAACTTCCTATTCATCCATGGAAACAACTTTTCATATTCTTTATAATAGGCTTTACTGGATTTGGATTTTACACCTACCAACGTTTGTTTAGATTTTACAACAAGCGATTTAATGGACGGTGTATTATCTTTTTCAACGGAAATCGTTTTATTCACAAAGACGATGATTTTTATAAGCAAACGTCAAGTGACATTTCCATGGCAATCGTGAAATTACGAACACCCAGCCCACTTAATTAGACATGTATTCGAGTATAACGTCAATATGATTTCATTGAATTTCCTATTTTTAAATTATACTGCAGGTATAATAAAAAATACTATAAGATACACGTGTATAATTGGTCTTTAAAGCACTTGCAACGTTAAAGGCACTTCGCTTTGCGTCGTGCCCTTAAACTCGTTGCGCGTGCTTTAAAGACTTGATTATACACTTGTATCTTAATATACTATTTTTCCATTTTTTTTTATAATATTGATCTTAGATCACATTAAGAAACAAAGTAAGTTTCACAAAAACATAGTTTTTGGAAGTATCTAGGTTAAATAAAATGCCTCTGGGAGTGGAAGTGCCTGCTGAAAATCAAATACCTGGGTATTTTTGGGTTTTTAGACTTCTTTGAATGGCTTATTTCTTCTTTGATAGAATTCTAACTGTCAATCAAATTCCATTTTATACATTTTTCTTTCTCCATTAAATCCTGGCAAATTGCCGTCTATGGTAAATAACCGCTCACTATGGAGATCCGATTCATATCCTATGAGATACTTTACCATACTCATAGAAATATTCGAGTCAAATCTATAATAGCGTAATGCACACAACGAAGTAAAGATAAATGAAGAGAAACTGTTTTCCTAGGAAGCTTGAAACATCTTAAGAGGCATTGAGTCAATTTACATTTCAATTAGTAGAGCAAATAGAATAAAAGCTTTTCGAAATAAATAATAAAGATATGAAACTTAATTAAAATTCTAATGGTACTTGGACTACTCCGAACTGCACACAGCTCGTTATTCCGTAAACGAATTGTAAATTTTCACGCGGAAATCTCACCCGCAAATAAACTTGCCGTCATAAATACCTACGTGTATACGGTTTAATTAAAAAAAAGTAATCAAAACGATTGTCTTCTATTTGTGAATGTAAAGTAAACAGCTCTGAGTTTCCACAGTAACAATATCGATTGCGAAGTTTTCAATTCATAAAAAAATTCGTTTACCGCATGTTTATCTTAATAAAAGTACGACAGAAAATTCGTGGTACAAAATTCGGTTTTCATTTGTGTGCGTAGTTGCCGAATGTAGCCATAAAATTAGTTTCTGCCAGGAATAATTTATTACGCACATAACCACGCCCAATCAAATTTAACTTTCTGCACCCTACGCGTTTGAACCAATGTAGGCAAACTAACTTGTATTCCCTTTATGTGTTTACTAACTACAGCGAATTCATAGCGGCACTTAAACTAATTGGTATACAATGGCAGCGAGAACAGATTTATATACCGTACCTACTGCAATGTTTTCTGTTTTGTTTTTAAGTACTACGTTACAATAATAACACGCAACAAGATTTTTGAACGTTAACGCGAGACTGCGGAAATTAAATTCCAAGGTAAACTTGTGGATGGATTGTTGGGAGCTTATAACGCAATTGTTAGCTAAACAAACTCCACATAAGCTTTTGTTTATTCTAATTAGAAAGAACAGCCTACACTTATAATTAGATCTGTTCACGTAAATTTTCTACTAAAAATGCATGCTTTCATACACAAACGAATAAAGTGAGACACTTAGATACTGTTGAACGTGAAGATGAGTAAAACTTATTACTTTGCAATCATTCTAGGGGTACGTTTTGGGTAAATACGTTATCCTACACAGAATATTTTGTAATACGTAATTTTTTTTCTCGCAGTTGTTTAAAATGTAAATTGAACAATAGATCCCTTGTTCGCCTTAGTGCCACACGTGTTTCATTTCCCACACTCGCATGTGCAATAATTTACCTAGAAACCAATAAAACTGCCAACCGAAAGCGGACTTAAGAGGGTAAGCTAATCATGCGCATTGCACTGACAATTGTGGGTGTCGATACTAATTAGTACTTCAAATACGAATTCCAAGGAGGAGATTGGTCAGTATTGTTTCGTGCTTCGACCATAAGTGTTGTGACGTGCACTTGTTAATTGGATTAATTCGAATTACCAAAGTGAGTGAGTACCTCTGCTTGTATAAGTATTGTATAAATGTAATTCGGCTTTTGTTCATAAAATGGTAAAGGTGTACCCTTTCCTCAGAAACGTTGCGCATATGATTTACGTATGAGATTACGAGTTATTAGTAGATAATTAATCACCGAAGGTACCTTCTTGATTAGGAGTTAGAGATGTTGATAATTAGTAAATTAGACAGTAGATTAGGGGTGTCGAATGCAATGCCCGCAGAATGTGCATTTGTACGTGCAGTTAATTACTGCTTGTCCTTAATTGGGATAGACTAGTTTGCCTGACCACGTGGCACGTTGGAAGGTCTCCGATGGTCTCATTGGGGGTACGTCGGGCATGGGTCCAGGTCCACGTGCCTGTATCAATTTGGCCCGGCGTTGAGTAAAGCCTACTTTCACTCATCGGGAGCTACGTCCGGCTCGACCGGCGTTGGAAAGGCTCCTTAGCGCATGGAGGATACGTGGTAGAGCCAGGTTGCTAGTCTTTGTTGTGCCTGAGATGGCATCTGGACCCGTGTAAAAGGCCAAGCATATTTATCTCACTTGGAGTTACGTTACGGTCGTAAGAGCTCTGGGCCAATTTAAGGCCGCGTAGGGCCGTCTGGTCGGTGGCTGTGCTCGGCACCTCAGGAATGGTTCGGCCCAGCACATCGGGGGAAACGCTCACCATCTGGATTCGTCCTGCCCACCGCGCTGGATGCTCCGTCCATCAGGATTCATCGTGCGGGCCGGCCGATCAGTGTAAGGACCCCGCGTCTGGGTTTTATGAGCCCACCGCGTTGAAAGACTCCTGTTACCCTCGTTCATTGTGAGGGCGGGGCGTTCCAGGGGCAGGCTACGTGTCCGCACCTAGTTATATAATGTGAGGAGGAGAGCCATTGCACTTTATTGCGCATGAGGGTTACGTATTCCAGGCCTCGGCGGGCCCGGGCGTCACAAGGCCACCTTTATGTGAGTTACGGATAGCGTAAGGGCTTCTGGGACATGTGGGCCCGGCTGTAGCCAGCTGACGTGTGAAAGACTCTTTTATAAGGGTAGGGATTGCACAGGGGGATACGTAGCCGGGTGGCATATGGGGTCCTGGACGTAAGAAGATCCTCTGTTCTCGTAACCCCGCTACTAATGTAGCTTGTTTGAGAGTTGTTGAGTAACATGATTAGAGTAGTTAGGCTGAATGCAAGACAGAGGTGCTCCTTGTGTTTCTTGTAATTACAGTGGTCCAGGCCGAGAGCAGCCATGGAGACCAGGTACCGTTAGACACCTAGATGATCCT